GGTCGTTATGCTTTTTCATTCAGAAGAAGCTTTGTTCTCCGTGATCCGGCATTTTTGTTTGCTTAAGTTTAGTCATCTTGGTTTTACCGAGTGCGTACTAGGTGTTTGATGATAGTTCTGTGAGAGAAAATTGATGTTTGAGGACAATCAATCATCCTCTACTTCTGAGACTCAGACTAAGTGTCCAAGTTTGGGACTGCTGTAACAAAATGGGGACATTCTGTTTATGCGTTTCCGTTTCTTTTAAAGCCTTCCCCCCTGTTGTTCGTTGATCAACTTGGATTATGTCTTCATGGCTGCTGAAACTGATTTTGTGGGGTTTTCTTCTTGTGCAGGAATAAGAGACTAAAACATGGAAAAAGTTGATTAATATAGCCGTCTCTGGTGCGGCTGGGATGATATCCAATCATCTTCTCTTTAAAGTAAGTAGTAATCTCCTTCTTCATGTTCATGAACTGCTTCTTGCATTGTCGGTCTAGGTTAATGTGGCTCCCCAAAATGATGTTACTTTTCGCCTTGTAAAACTTGCACCTTGATGGTTTTGTTGTTTGAATTGGAAGCTTTGTTTATAATGATGGGAAGCTCATAGGGGGTGAGTGTATCCCAATCTTAAGTTGAACTTATTTATTTTATTCCCTACATGTCCTTAGGCAGTTGTAGTATATACGGAAGACTGATGATAATGAGATTTTGTTGCATTTCAGCTGATTTTGCATCCAATCTCCATTAAGTTTTGTTTGTGAATGAAATGTGTGGTCATCGCAAGTTTTACTTGAACCGTTATCCTGTGCAACAAGGTTCAAATTCCTTGTCAATGGAGTCCCGGAAACTGTTTTTCTTTCAGTAATTTGTTATCCTCGTTTTCTCTTTGATAGCGGCTTGTAGTATTCTAGACTATTTTATGGTTATGTTTATAGGAAGAGAATGCTGCTGTTGTATAGATTGTGAGCTGAAGTATTTCGAGGTTTGGTTGCGTTCAGCTGGTCTTTTGTTGTCCAATTTCCATCAAATTAGTCTTGTTAGGTATATCTTAAATGTGTGGTCAGCAGAAATTTCATTAGCCTCGGCCATTAGAGTTATTCTTTGCCCGTATAAACACAATGATTTCTCTTATTCAAATTTGCTCTCGGTTCTGGTCACTTTGAGATAAATGGAATAATGCTGGTGTTTTGTGCGCAGTTGTCTCCCATCCAGCTGACAACCTTGTGTCTTCCTCAACAATGCCAAGAAGTAGAAGAAAATGAAGATGAAGAGGATTACGATGAGGAAGAAGAGAAAGAGCATCGACTGACAGTACACAAAGTTGGAAGAAGAGGATGCGCTTGCTGACAGTGTGATGGCAATAAACACCAACTAGAAGGACACTAGTCTGTTTGGCGTTTATACAGTGGCTAAGGTGAGATTCCTACTACTTTTTACTCATGGTTTCCTGTTTGAACAATAATTAGACTATGAACAGTAATTAGATTATGAAATGAAGATCACATTTGGATGATTCCAAGTAAGATCAGTTCCACCTCTAGCTGAAAAATCCACAATGTTAAATAGAATTTAAACCATCCATAACGTAAAATGATCAAATGATTTTGCGACAATCAAACTTAACTAAAAGAAACACATAAACTTAAATGAACCATATCCTTCGAAATCTCTAGTTGATGCACTTTTCCAAATCACTTGTTGGTACTGCTTTGTTTTCTCTTAGTAGCACTTCTTGTGGTCGGAATCTTCTGTACATAAAATGGAAATGTTGTAACAACCAAAATCAAGGATGAATGAAATCTGTTTCGTAAGCGCATAAGATTTCACAAAAGTTACCCTTTGAGGTTCGTCGTCCAAACCATCAAAATCTTCTGCTTCCTTTCTTTGGCCAGGATTGTTGTTATTGGGCTGACTTTCAGCCTGCTTGGTAGCACTATTTTTTGGCTTCTTCTACGTTAACAAAAAGTTAGGCTTTAGTGTCGTACTTATAGAAGAATAAATGGTTACTAACTAATTAAATACACAAGATTTGTTCAGAAAATTTACCTTTACCGGTTGGTTAGTTGGCTCATCATCATGTGAGTTGCTGGGAGAATTAGTACAAGTGCTTTGGTAATGGCCATCTCGTCCGCACTTACCGCACTTCCGTTTCTGTTTACCAGAAGACTTTCCTTTTCCAGTTTTACCACCTTTATATGGCACCTTCAATGGGTCTAATACTCCTTTATATTCCTCTGGTATAGGGATCGTGCCTCCCTCAATAGGATTCTGTTGCATCGTCGCTAACTGGTCACACAAATTATCTATTCCTTTTTGTGCAAACCTATAAGTTTCGGATGAATTTGCCCCTAGAAAGCAAAAGCGAAAGTTGCTGTACTGCAGCATCCCGTACCTAACACTGAATAGACTAGGATCATCGATACTCTGTTGCTCTTGCATGTCGTCTATTGTCTTTGGATTCTTTGTCCATCTTTTTAATACCAAAGTTTCTGGCACTGTCGGTATGTTCTCTTTCTTTAGCACAGAGAGCATATGGCAACATGGAATTCCCATATAGTCAAATTTAGCACAACTGCACTTCATCTTCTTGGTTTCAACATCAAAACTGACATTGAACATCTTTTCTGTGCCAAACAACGTCACCTGGTAATTGTGCCACACTCCATTTATCTCAACATTTCTCTTCCTGATACCCTCAACTTTGCCTAGCTCTTTTCGAAATTTTCCAAATATCTTATTGGTGAATTCCCTAGCAGCACTCTCTTCAAGAGTCCTCAAGGCTGTATAGTTTATCTCGGGTAAACCAAAGCTGGATTGAAAATCTAATTTCACCTCAGTTTCCCTTAGTTCTTTTATCCAACGATCAAAATGGATAAAAAAACTCGAGTAGATTGTGGTCCTCAGTTACAAACCTTGCAAGATGTGAGTTAAGTCCTTCACAAACTGACGTTGTTGACAATCCTGCAAAGAAGTAAGTCCGTAGGTACGTGTAAGCCCATTCCCCTCGCCTTCCAAATAAATCCGATACCCATTTAGAATTATGCAGCGACAACTTTTCCACCATTGCTGCCCATTTTTCTTCAAATTCATCATACTCATAATCAGCATATACAAACTTCTGCCATTCAGGTTCGAACTCTTTGTGGTTTTTGAAACGACTCACAATATTTTTGGCAATATGCCATGAACACAAACGATGAGTTGCGTCTGGAAAGACTTTCTGAATGGCATTGCGCATTGCTTTGTCGCCATCTGTTACAACTGTACGAGGTTCTTTGTCACCCATTCCTTCCTTCAGTACCCCTAGCACCCAGTCATAACTTTCCTCAGTCTCGTTAGCTAGCAGAGCACATCCAAATATACAACTCTTTTTGTGGTGATTGATACCTAGTGCCAAAACCAATGTATGTAAGCTGAATACCAAAATTGAGAAGTTACTGAATTATTAGTGAGCAAACAGATTGGTCGACTAGGGAAATAAATTAGCGAGCAAATTATTACAAAACTTGAACAAAAGCTAAGTGTTTTTAGCGAAAGCTACTGAAATTTTGTTCAAAGCAGCTGGTTTTGAGGAAAAATTCTGCGCTGCCATACTTTACTACAGCAGCAAAAGACTTAGTTTTGCTTGTACATTAAAAACGCAGAATCCAATTGCATATTTTAATAGACAGCAAATTAAGTACAACAGATGTACCAAAAATAGAGCAGAACGATAATTTGCATCAGTGAATGTAGTAAAAATAAGGTAGAAATGTGCACTTGAGAAAACAACTAGAGGCATGTTATAAACATTCTTCTTGTACGTGCTGTCAAATGCTAGCAAATCTCCAAAGCACGCCATATCTGCTACGCTCATGCTGTCTGCCCAAAATATGCTATGAAGTCGCTTATCTTCATCAAAAATAGGTTCCAAAACGAAGTGGTTGTCTCCGCTGATTTTAGACTTAAGGTATGCGAGTGACGTGGCAGCATCTCCCTCGCTGATCCTTTCCCCACGATCTTTAGAGGCAAAATTATGTAAATCTTTTTTGGTGTGTCCCACTTTGTCATAGCCTCCAGCCTGGTGCACATGCTGATTCATGATGTCAGCGGTTTTCATACCTGCATCACGTTGGTATCTAACTTCAGCTTTAGTCGCTTCATCTAAGCCTCGATGTGATCTCATATGATGCACCAAATTTTGACGAATCGGATTATGGGTATGTTCGATGTAGAAAGTGTCAACAATGTACTTTGAATCTGACTTGTCCAGCTGAACACGCAACCTAGCTTTACACTGAAATCTTGTATTTAATCGTGAAGGTCGTTCTAGCTCGTCTTTACTTTTGCGTTTTGTCCCCGCACAAGAACAGACAAAAAGTCGAGAAGTTGTTTCCCCCTTTTTTGTTTCAGTCTTCTTCTCACGTCTCACCGAAAAACCCCAAGCTCTTGCATACTTATTGTAGAAATTGTAAGCCTCCTCAGTACTGTTGAACTTTCGACCAATAACGTCCTCGGCCGTAAGATTTTTCAGATCTTCAGTCTCTTCAACTTCGATGATTTCATCGTCAGGTTCAATATCAGATTCTGCATTTTTATCTCCATTCTCCTCGACAATACCTTCTTCTTCGGCTGACTGGTTTTGTTTTTCTCCTCTTTCGCTAGTCAGACCATCGCCTGCCGCATGCTGATTTCCACCCTCTGCCATGTGGGCGCCTGGACTGAGTCTCTTAGACAGGAAGCTAATTTCCACCCTCTCCCTCAGGAAGCTAATTAAAGGGTAGCGAAAGAGGTACTTAAAGGGCAGCTACTTAGGTTGTGGGCGCAGAATACCAAATTTTAAATTTATTTGCAGAAAGTTTTAGAAAAGCTCTCTCATTAGTTTGGTGTTAATGGGCTTCTTCTTTCCAGATCCAGTTTAGATTTAGTTAGCCTTTATTCCCTTTTTAGAGTTTGAACTGTAATAGGAATCAAGCGAGACAGAGGACATTATTTACCTGCGAACTAAAAACTGAACAAATTAGCATTTTTTGTTTTCTAGGTGCTGTCTCTTTAATCCAGATACAGGAGGAACTGAAGAAACTGAACCAAGCAGAGAACAAAGAAGAGAACTTGATGAAAGCCGTTGAGGACAGGAAGGATGCTATGCTGCAATCTCTTTGGCAGATCAATGTGGTTGATATCGAGACTACTTTATCTCGCGTTTGCCAAGCTGTAAGCTCTTAGAGTCTCCTGTCTTTATGCTCCACACACTTGTTTTTTTTATCACAATTGAATCGATTGTTGACGAATTCTGTTTTTTTGGCTTGCTGCTTCTTGTTTCAGGTACTTAATGACCCTACTGTTTCCAAGGATGTTCTTCGACTGCGAGCCAAAGCATTGAAGAAACTAGGAACAGTCTTCCAAGTGAGTGACGGTTTGGTTTCCTGACAACTACAGGTTGAAATCATCGAGTAATATTCTTCAATAATTGCTCCACAGGGTGCCAAGGGTCCTTAATGCAGGGAAAACAGCTTGCGCCACGAGAGCCTGGCCAATCCAGCTGCTGGGGGCACATCTCAGTCCGCTTGATCTCAATTCTCTCTTTGAGAGGTCCAAACAATAATGTACTCTTTTGTATTGATATCTTTTTGTGTTTTCAGGCTGTACAAGCAGCATCAAACAAGAAGAGTGATGCTCCAGTAGTAGGATCATCATCATCTGGTTAGTTTCCTGAAAATCTTGGATGAAGTGGAACTATACTTGTGTGATTGGCCAAATTTATCAAGCTAAGGATTGGGTCCATATCTTTGATTGTTTGAGATTTCTAGGACTTGTCTATGTAATGCCAATAGTTCTTAAGTTCATCCCCATGAGTAGCATTTTCATCGTTTCTTTCCCTTTTGACAGGGCCTGCTAGCGGCAATGTGATGCAGGTAAATGTCTGCTGTTAATGTTCCTTTTTATCTCTTTACCTATGGTCTTACATTGTCATTGAAATGCTCCCTTTGCTTGTACTGATGTGTGCTAATCAACTGGCAGTTGGTTCTTTGTTAGATTTGGAAAAAGAAAACGTCTCGTGGTTTGTGTAACTGTGTCAGTTATTGTTTGGTCGTGATTTTTAGTTTAAAGCATTTATCTTTGATTTGTAGGGCCCTGGTTTTGAGGCCAAAGTAGCGAAACTCATGGAACTTGGGTTTCGTAGAAATAGTGTCGAAATGCTCGATTTTAAATCGTGAAATTTTCTAGCGATCGAAATACGGGTTTTGCCATAACGGGATGTTACAATTCTCCCCTCCTTAAAAGATTTCGTCCCCGAAATCTAACCTTGAGTCGTACTCTAACTCCTCTTACTTACTCTTGACATGGTTTATCGTAGATAAACCATTACCTACCTCTTAGGTTAGGAGATTCATAACATAGAAAGTAACACATAACAACTCAAGTTCCCATGTTTAGGTTTCAAAAACCTATACTGGGCTATCACAACAAAAGCATATCAGCAAGTTCAAAACATAACTTACTAAGCAAGATTGTTAACCTTTAAGGTAGGTTGCTACCAACTCAGGTTACTTCTCTCGCATACTTGCTTCAGTCTCCCAGGTAGCACTCTCACTTTCTTGATTCCTCCACACAACCTTCAACATTGGAATTTCCTTTCTACGAAGAGTCTTAATCTGAAAATCAACAATCTCAACTGGAACCTCTTCAAATGTCAAATCTGGACCCAACTCGATCTCCTCTGGTTGTATAACATGGGAAGGATCCACTTTGTACCTTTTCAGCATACTAACATGAAATACATTGTGGATTTGAGATAGTTCTGGAGGCAATGCCAACTTATAAGCCACTGGTCCAATCTTCTCTGTGATTTCATATGGTCCAATATATCGATGTGCAAGTTTCCCTTTCTTACCAAATCTCATTACGCCTTTCCAAGGCGAAACTTTGAGAAATACTTTCTCACCCACTTCGAAATTAACTTCACGCCTATTCGTGTCAACATAAACTTTCTGTCGATCTTGAGCCACCCTCAAACGATCCCTGATTTCCTTGACCTTGTCAACTGTGATCTGAACCATCTCTGGCCCTGAGATTTGCCTTGCTCCTTCTACATCCCAACATAATGGTGTCCTGCATTTCCTCCCATAAAGTGCTTCATAGGGTGGAACACCCAAGCTACTATGGTACTGGTTGTTGTAAGCAAACTCAATGAGGGGAAAATGGTCAATCCATGATTCCTCCCATTGCATTACACATGATCGAAGTAATTCCTCCAAAGTTAGGATGGTTCGTTCACTCTGCCCATCTGTTTGAGGATGATAAGCTGAAGTAAAATGCAGTTTAGTTCCCAAGGCATCATGTAAACTTTGCCAAAACCGAGATGTGAAGCTCGGGTCTCGATCAGAGACAATAGAAATTGACACACCATGCAATCTGACGATCTCCTTAATATATAGTTGAGACAAAGTCTCCGGTGATGGTTTCCATCTGATGGGTAAAAAGTGAGCCGATTTGGTCAGTCGGTCCACAATAACCCATACTGCATCCTTTCCCCTTGATAATGGGAGACCATATACAAAATCCATTGTGATTCTTTCCCACTTCCATTCTGGAATTGGAAGTGGTTGCAGTTTTCCCACAGGAGCTTGATGTTCTGCCTTAACTTTCTGACATACCAGACATGTGAAAACATGCTCAGCCGCTTCCTTTTTCATCCCACGCCACCAAAAATATGATTTGATCGTGTGATACATTTTAGTTGCTCCTGGGTGCATAGCATAAGCAGAAGAATGAGCTTCATCTAGGATCTCTTTCCTCAAGTTATCAACATTAGGAACACATGCCCTTCCATTCATCTTCAACATGCCATCTACCATTTCAAATGGGCTTTCTTTACCTTCCTCAATGTCTTGAATTATTTTTGCCAATTCTGGGTCCTCCTTCTGCTTCTCACGAATTTTGTCATGCAACAAAGGTCGAATGTTCAACCGAGCTAGTAACCCTGTTACACCATCCACTTCCAAATCAACATTCATTGCCCTCAAGTCAACCAGATCATTTATATTCTTCTTCCCCTTTCTGCTTAGGGCATCAGCAACTACATTAGCTTTACCTGGATGGTAATCAATTGTACAATCATAATCTTTTAGAAGTTCAATCCATCTCCTCTGGCGACTATTTAAATCCTTCTGATCCATAATATACTTCAGGCTTTTATGATCAGTGAGGATTTTAAAAGTCTCACCATATAAATAATGTCGCCATATCTTGAGAGCAAATACCACAGCTGCCAACTCCAAATCATGAGTGGGATAATTTACTTCATGAGGACGCAATTGCCTAGAGGCATAGGCAATAACTCTTCCATCTTGCATTAACACACAGCCCAATCCTTGATACGAGGCATCACTATACACCACAAAATCTCCATGGTTTGAAGGTAAAGCAAGTACTGGTGCTGTGGTCAATCTCTTCTTCAGTTCATCAAAACTCTTTTGACATGATTCATCCCAAACATACTTGGTATTCTTCCTCAACAGTTTAGTCAATGGGGCAGCAATTTTGGAAAATCCTTCAACAAACCGCCGATAGTAACCCGCCATGCCAAGAAAACTTCTCAACTCCGGCACATCTTTTGGTGGAGCCCAACTCACCACTGCTTCCACCTTTTTCGGATCCACCTCGACACCTCTTCCAGAATTTACATGGCCCAGAAATATTACCTCCTTCAGCCAAAACTCACATTTTGAGAATTTTGCATATAATTGTTTCTCCCTTAGAATTTGCAACACAATTCTAAGGTGACTTTTGTGCTCCTCTTCGCTTTTGGAATAGATGAGAATATCATCTATGAACACAATCACAAACTTATCAAGATATTCATGGAAAACTCTGTTCATAAGAGCCATAAATACCGCTGGTGCATTAGTGAGTCCAAAAGGCATTACCAGGAACTCATAATGCCCATATCTTGTTCTAAAAGCTGTCTTTGAGGTCGCTCCATCTGCCACTTTCAGTTGATGGTACCCGGACCTCAAATCAATCTTAGAAAAGACTGATGCACCTTGCAATTGATCAAACAAGTCATCTATTCTTGGGAGGGGATAACGATTCTTCACTGTTGCTTTATTCAACCTCCGGTAGTCAATGCACATTCTCATGGATCCATCTTTTTTCTTGACAAACAAAACCGGTGCACCCCAAGGTGAGATGCTAGGTCGAATAAACCCCTTGTCTAGCAATTCTTGTAATTGTTCTTTAAGCTCCTTCAGCTCAATTGGTGCCATTCTATATGGTGCCATTAAAATTGGTGTTGTGCCAGGTACCAATTCAATATCAAACTCTACTTCCCTTTCTGGTGGAAGGCCGGGAAGTTCTTCGGGGAATACATCAGGAAACTCCCTTACCACCTCTACATCCTCAACCTTCTTATCATTTACAACAGTAACTTGAGCAAGAAAGGCTTCACAACCTTCCTTCATTAATCGAAAAGCTTCCAAGGCAGAAAGAAAACAATGATTCTCCTTTTTCTTAATGCCTCGGAATACAACAGGACCTTTATCTGGTGTGTTGAATAACACTTCTTTCTTTTGACAATCCACAACAGCTCCATGTGTTGCCAGAAAATCCATTCCAAGGATGACATCAAATTCATCAAAAGGTAGCAGAATTAAATCTGCTGCTAGGAAAGCTCCTTCCACACAAATGAAGGAACTTCTAATAACTTAGTCTACCTTCAAGGTATCTCCCACAGGTGTTTTAACACATAAGGTATAACCTAGCTTATCTGGAACTAAGCGTAGCATATGTGCAAACGTATATGACATGAATGAGTGAGAGGAACCAGTATCGATCAAAGCATATAATTGCTTGCCAAGGATAGAAAGCATACCAGTCACAACTTCTGGTGCCACTTCTGCCTCACCTCGAGTCATTGCATAAACCCTCGGTGCTCCCTGTGCTCTGGTACCCTGCGTACCACTTCCTGATGGCTGATTTCGACCACCACCTCTACCACTCTGTGAACCACCACGACCACTCTGAAATCCACTACGGCCTCCCTGGTAACCACCCCTGAATGGGGCTCTACTAAACTGCACTGAAGGCTCGGACTGTGTAGCTCTTACTTCTCTCGAATGCGGACAATCCCTCATGATGTGCCCAGGTTGGTCACAGTGAAAGCATACACCAGAAAATCTCCTACACTCTCCAAGATGCCTCTTCTGACAAACTTGACAAAATGGAAATTGTGTGGCTGAGGAAATTGGTGCCCTATATGATGTTCCCGGCATAGATTGACTTGGTGTTCTCCCAAAACTGCTAGGACCTCTCCTGGGTGGGTAACGAGGTCCAGCATAACTCACTCCAAACTTCCTCTTCTTCTCCTCTTCTTTGGCCTTGTTTTCCTCTCTACCATCAACTTCATAGGCTTCATACTTAAGTGATGCCTCCTTGATAGTGGCCATGCTCTCTTCATCAACCCTGTGGATCTTTTCTTTCAACCCTAGGCGCAGCCCATGCAAGTATCTCATCTTCTTCTTATGCTCAGTATCCGCCAACCCATCTTCAAAGTAGAGTAATCGAACAAACTTGATGGTGTACTCAGTAACTGTCATATTCTCCTGCTTAAGGTTGGCGAATTCATTATTCTTTGCCCTGATAAAAGCTTCGGGAAGAAACTCTGTCTTAAAGGCCTTCAGGAACTCCTCCCAGGTGAACTGAACTCGTTCACCATTAACTCTAGAGACTGTGGACCACCAGCTCCTCGCGTACCCCTTTAGGAGAAAAACAACATATTGCACTTTTTCCTCTGGGGTTGCATAAAGATACTCAAACACATCTTCCATCTCCCTCAACCACTCTACCACAGCATCCGGACTCACATCTCCTTTAAAGTCCCTACCACCCAAACTCTTCATCTTTGCATAATCTAATACTGGCGGTCTTGCATCAACCGCCCCCACTCCTCTCGACTGGTCAGTAGGAACATTTTCACAACTTCCGTGCGAGCTACAAGGAAATATTGGCCTTAGATTGATCCACACAAAATTCATTCCTCACCCATTCTCTCACTTGTTTAAAACAAATTTTTCCCAAAATCATTACTTGAAAACAAATAAGTTCAAAACTCAATTTTGAAAACCATGATGCAGGTAATTTCATCCAACATACCAATATACATAATCATGTTAAACTCAATTCCCAGTTTAAGTCATTATGG